GAATTCATCTTTCCCCAGGTAAGGGCAGAGCTACAGTATATATAAGATGGACAGGGCTTAACATGGCCTTTTGTGAATGCCCTCCCTCCAAAGGAAAACTGACCACCTGCTGTGGAACCTTAGGGAAGTGCATACCCAGCTTCAGCCCCCACCAATGCTGTGCCAGCCTCTGTGTTCAGGGACTAAAGGCAAAAGTTGTGTAGGAAGAGCAAAAGGGTCAGCACTCAAGAGAACTCACAGAGCACTTTCTGGAGTGAGAGAATAAAAGATCTGTACTTGGGCATGCGCGTCAGCTGTGTTGCTTTGATGTGGCATTGGTTGACAAGAGAAAGCTGGGTGACCCCAAATTACTAAGGCAATATTGCCTTCAAGGGGTAAAAGTCAGGGATCACCATTTCAGTGAGGCTGAAGCTAGTGGGCTGTTGTGGTCTGTGTTTCTGAGTCTGTAGTTGGCGAGTGGCTAAAATAGGCTCCATTTCATGAATATGGTTGGCCAGGATAACTAGAGCTCAGGACTGCTGTCTGCCCTGATATAGTACCACAGCACACTCTCTCAGCATTGCACTGAGTCACCCCACTGTCCAGTATCTACAGCTTATTCTCCATTTGGGAGGGCATGAAGAAATGCAGACAAGGCTCCTTGGAGGTATGTGAATGCCCACTTTCCCACCTCTCTCCTGGCACGGGTGAAATGCCAAGGTGCTGCAAATGTTGTGCCTGAGTGAAGAAACCTTTCCCGAGAGCAGCCTGATGAGCTCAGCACGGTGCTGCTCAGCCAGATGGCTCCTGGACCAAAGCTGACTCATGCCCAGAGAGCTCAGGCAGCAGAACAGACAGACACCTGCAGCACGCTGTGGGTGACACCTCACCCCGGCTGGCCCTGCACTCACAGTGGGGCAGCTCCAGCAGTAAAAACCAGGTGTTCTGCCTACTGCTATAATTCTAATGCTGCAAAAGTGAAATGGTGACAGGCCTGGGTTCCACTGACAAACAGAGAAACACCGGGCTGGTGAACTCTCAGCCCAGCCCTGAAAGGGTGCAACCATCAAGGGAGCAGAACTCTTCATTCTCCCAGTGGCAAAGGATGGTGAGCACAAACTGTGGATAAGCTGATGGCACAAAGGGAAGGATTATAGAGTCTAACAGTGCAGCAATGGCCTCAGAGAGAGCAAGGGACTTGGGTATCTGTTTTCCACTAAAACAGTGTTTATCAGCCTCTCCATCTGTTTTCCAGCTTGGCCTCTTAGTGAATTACAGTTTAAGAAAGGTGGGAAACATGAGCTACACCCAATCTGTGCTGCAGACCACAATTTTCAGAGAAATGAATAAAGGTAAAAAACAAAAGTGAAAAGGAAGAAGTGTGGCCAAAAATCCTCTTAAATTGTCCAAAGCAAACATGGGAGGGAGACTGGACTGCACTGGTAAAGCTGTGAACCAGCAGCATTAGTGGGTGATGAACATGGTCATGTTATCTAATATGGCAGAACACACATCATGCATATTTAATAGCATTGTTTAGCTTCTATTTGTCACAGCTAGAGGCTGTTTTGAAAGGCATGGGAAATAACAGAAAGGTTGTAATTGAATGGTAGGGCTTTTGACTGGAGGTCACACACAGAGAAACGTGCAAAGGCATTTGTAGTATAAGACTTCCATGTATTCCCTGTTTTTAGAGCCCACATGAAAAACAAGTCAGCTGCAGCAGTGTTTACTGAGAATTAATCAGGTTTGCAGATTAAGTGTAAGATCCTGAATTATAGATGCTTATATGGAAACATAAGGCACATGCAACACACATAGCTGAGACATGAAAAATGAACTCTGATGGTGGCAGCAGAAGAAATGGGTAACAGCAAAGGAGGAAAGGGAAGGCGCATACAGTGATGATGGACTGAATTCTGTTGTCACTTCAGAGCAGGCATTTAAGTTCTGATCAATTCTCCCTGTAATGGCAAATGCTGATCTATGAAAGAATCATTGGTAATTATTTTTTGCATTGCAAAAATGTCTCCAAAACCTACTCAGAAATGAGCATCTGCTTCACTTCCAGACACATAGAGTGTTTCCATATGTTCGGATGACTACAGAACCCTCAAAGCAGAGCTGCAGATTTTTGCCATTATCTTCTTACCCTGGAAAGATTTGCAAGCAAGATAACAAAGAGAGACTGGTATAAAACAGAAAATTATTGACCGGTAGCAGGTTTCAAGAGCTTACTTCAGTCCAGCTCAACACTCCACATGTTTTATGCATCTGTCTGCCGGCTAGACTGGGGCTCTCCATGAACCTATAGAGAATTTGGGATGTTGCACACAGGCTGTGACTATCTGGCAGATTTCTACTCTGGAGGCCACCTCTTTCCCCATTTTCTACCTAATGCACTACAACACCCAGCAGGCTGAGCTTGGCTTGGATTATGGCCCTCACTCCTCCAGCTGACTTGAATGAGGCAAAACTTTTGGGAATGCAAATGGGAAAATGAGAGCAGCTCCTCTCCCCTGCTGTCTGGGCAGCAGATGCCTTTCCCCATTGCAGGAATGAAACAGTGAAATCCTGATGTAGATTAAAGCCCTTTCAGGAAAAAACAGGTACCCAGAACTGCAGCATGAGCTGTGACAGACACACTGGAGTTCAACTGGGTCTCCTGGAGGGGAAGGTATAGGTGTCAAGTTCACACCATAAAACAAAATGCCAGGTAAACATGATATCCGAATCCTAGAAGAAATCATGGAAAGAAGATCCTGTACCGATGTTTTCAGGAAGATTTTTACCTCCTGTATCCCTCTGTGCAAGTGCTCACATACCATGGGACCACCCCCATGTGCAAAAGCACTTAACCAGCCAGGGCCTCTGAGGAAAATGGCTGCTCTGTTAGCAGTAATTCCATTTGAATTGTTAATTATTTTTGTCTTTCAAACACAGCGTATACATTGGCTAATCACAACTCTTCTGATAACTATTTATGTGTTTGCTTGCCCCTGCTGCTCACAGTCACGTTCCTTCCCTGAATGTGACCGTACCAAACTCAATGTGGGATACATCAAAGGCAAGCTGAGTTTTTTGTCTAAGATTAGTAGCAGTTACATATTTGCAGAAAGAAGTCATATGACCTTTCTTCTAACACTGGAAGGATATCCAGAACTTGTCAGTGTGAACACAGGATGATTTTAATTTCCTAAGAGTCCCCTAAAGAGAGGTTTTACATCAGACTCCTGTTTAACTAAATAAACATAAGATCAAGAAAATATTAAGCAAATCAGGCTTCATTTCTCACTCAAAATTAGATAGCAAGAGAACAGCCATTACAGCTCTCTTTAAAGCCATTTAATCACGTGGATCATGATGCATAAACAACAGAAAACCCATTTTCTGCCCTTTTTCAAATGGAGTAATGGGGACTAAAAATACCAATCAGGACTAATAAAATGACACATAGTAAATGTATCCCAGTGTATGAATATTAATACGCACTATAAAAAGTCAAAAATTATCATTATATCACTGCTAGAAACGCAAAGGCCTCAAAGGGGATTAGCAAAGGGATTTGCTTTTACACTAACACTCGGCCAGAAACAAAGCTTGGAGTCGATGCCACACCTCCACAGTCCTAAGGTCACCTCTTATCTGTTCAATCCCACAGCAAGGCTCCCTTGTAGCTATTTTAATCTGAAATTGCTTCAGCTTATAATTCTTTGTGGAGACGGTCTGTCTGGTTGGGAGAGCGGGGTCTTGAGGGCGCAGAGGGCATGTGAGAAGTGGCCATTCCCAGCACCCACTCAGGGATTCCAGGCGTAGCTCCAGCACACGAACCTCCTGTGCCGAACCCGAACGGCCCCAGCAGCGCCTGAGCGGGGCCTGCTCAGGTCGGGCTGCGCTCCCCAGGCCCGGGCTGCCACACAGCGGCCCTCAAGGCCTCCCCGGCCTGGCCCGCGCAGGCCCCACCGTGCCCGGCCCCCGCCGCGGCGGGAGGCGGAGCCGAGCCCAGCTGACGCCGGCGGCGGGCGGTGCTGCAGTGCGCGGAGCCGCCGATCGCCGCCGGAGATCCGCAGCTGCAGCTCGCCGTGAGCGGGGGTTCCGGGGGAACGGGGACGGGTGGGGGACTGCGGGGCGGACGTGGAGTGGGGGGACAGGGCCGCCGCCATGTTCGGGAACCGGGTAGCGGAACGGGCGGGGTCGGGACTCGAACCGGAGCCAAGGCTGGGGGCAGAGACTGGAACCTGGGTCCCTGGAGACTCGAACCGGGGTTCCCCGGCGGGCGCGGGGGCTACAGGGGCTCGCAGGACCCCCGGGGCGGTCGCGCGCTCCCCCCTCCATTACTTCCCCCCCCTCGCGCGCGCTGGGGGCTGGACGTGACTGGCTGCGTTCAATTTGTCACGCGTCCATTGGCTGGCGGGGGCGGGCGGCGCGTGACGTCAGCGCGCGGCGCTACGCGGCCGGCGGCCATTTATAGGCACGGAGCGGGCGCTGCGCAGCCGGAGCGAGCGGGTGTACCGAGAGCGCCGGCGGTTGTATCGCGACCCATCCCCGCGGGAGTGCTGAGAAACCCCCCACGGAGCCTCGATCCACCTTCCCCGAGCTCCTCTTCGGCCGCCGCTGAGCTTTTGTTTCTGTTCGCGCAGCGCCTGAGCGTCCCCGCCCAGCTTTGTTCTTCTTGCGGCCCCTGCGGGGAAGGCGCGGCCAAGATGGACCCTTGTCACACCGAGGAGACCGAGGGAGAGATCCCCGGCTTGGGTAAGGCCCAGCGACGGCGGGCGGGGAGGGGGTGGCTGGAGGGAATGAGGAGGGAGCGGATGGGCGACCGGACCCTCGTGGTGCCGCCCGCCCGGGCCCAGTGCCGCGGAGGCCCCACGATGGCGCGGGGAGGGGGGGGGGGGGCGGCGGGGGCGGCCGGGGGTCGCTGCCCCGCCTCCACCGCCGCAGCCGCGCCCCGTGCTGGGGGGGGGTGTGGGGGAGGGGTGGGCGTCAGATCGCAAACGAGATAAGCGTAAATTACAGTTTATTACAGGTCTAACGTCCAGCCTTAAGTAGCGTAAAGCTGGTGGAAACGGCCACTCAGTAAAGCAGAAGTTGAAAGTAAAGGTTTCTGGACGCCATAACAGTCTCGTCTTAAAATGGTGAACCCGTGCCAGTTATTGCAAAACAATCCTGCTCAGTGCCTGCTATCTGTTTACTGGGTGTCGGCCTCTGACGACTGCTGAGCCTCCCCCGCGGGGAGAGCAACTCCAGAGGCAATAGGATTTTTAAAATCTTTATTAAATAGCAGAGAATGTACAGGAAAAAAAACATTATCAAAGCACCCCATGTTTATTCTTTTTAGCTATACAAAAAGATCTATCAAAACCCACAGAGCTCAGACACGAGAAAAATAAACAACTTTGTTTTTACACTTCAGGCTTGCTTTAAAATAAGCTATACAGGTAATGCATTTGTTTAAATTTTTGAACACACAGATTGGCAGGTGAACTTCACTGACTTATTATTCGAATTAATTTTCATCTTCCAAAGAAGTCAGGAACGACTTGACCTATTAAAAAAAAAAGTATATGTATTATTTGCTACATTAAAAGCTAAAGTATCAGGCTTTTCCCTTTATTTGGGAAGAAATTGTCTGTTACTATAGTTTTCCAGTGATGTTTTGCCCTACATTTAATTCATGACCTGAAATGCATGTGGCCTTTCAGAGGGGTGAAGTAGAAGATGGCATGTCTGAGTGTCTGTTCAAAATGAAGTTATTAATTGCTGGTTTCCATGAGAATGTAATGACAAATACCTCTGCAGTTAAGCATTGTGCTCCCCTTCGAAGTTTATTTAGAGCTGTTTAATTGAGAGAATTAGTCTTGGCTTAAAGGAGTCATTCTTCAGTAATCTCAAATTGATGACCCAGAACAAGATGAAGAAAATAGTTTATAGGGTTTGCTAGAAGAGTAGTTCCTCATGCTTTTAAGTATTAGGTGGATTTTTTTTTTTTTTCCCGTGGACTGGCCAACTCTACCAGAATTTCTTTAGGAAGTCATGCCTTTCCTTTTAATTAGTAAAACATCATTTTGACCTCTTTATTACCACCTTGTCTCCTCAAATGGGTGTTTATTTCCCCCCCCCCATTTGGAAGTGTCACTGCTTGAATGATAACTGTAGAAGAAAAGCAGATATAAACCCCCCACTACTTGATACTTACTTTATCAGTCAAGTACTCTTGTTTAATTTTATCATTCTTAAAATCTTCATTAACATCCAAAACTAGAATAGGAATCTCCTTAATGTTCTCAAAATCAACTCTGTTAAATGGAAGAACATGGTTTGAGTAAAAACTACATGAGATACTGTGCATTCAAGACCCCTGCTCTTGATGACCTGAGATGTTCTTGATGCTCTGAGATGTTGATGCCTAAAACTTAAATATAAAGCCCATATAAAGTTTGTCCTTAATCACTTTTCATATATTTCACAAATGTGAACTCTTAGTATCTATCTGTAATGTACAGGTTGGGGGGAAGATTTTTCCTTAATTTCCTTTATCTCATTCTTGTCACAGAATCAATTACCAAGTTGATTTTGTAAGATTAAGTATTTTTTTCAAAATCTCCCTTGTCCTGTATCTTCCCCCACCTAATCCACTTAACAAGATGCATTTTAAAAGCTTCCTTTCATGAGGATAATGTCTTCAACAGGTTGTGAGAGTGATATTTAAAATGTCTTGGACATAAGCAGGACCATTTTGGCTTCTGTTTAGGAACAGATAGGAGCCAGTAGTAAGTAATTATTTTCAATGTGGAAAGCATTTTTAAAATGCAGTATTTGTGCTGAACAACATCCTAACTTGTGCTCAAACACTTAAGTGTTCCTATTACAGACAGAGGAAGTGCTTGCTTACAGGTATGGAATGAGTACACACAGGTTTGGAATGAGTACACAACATAAACGTTCCCAAAATTCAACTCTATGCACTGCCTTCTGTCTCCTAAGCATTTGGGTCATCCCATGTGAAACTTCAGCAAGTAGATCAGACTGATAATGTACTTTTCCTGGAATTGTAATGTTTCCCATTCAGTAGAATATGTTGGACTCCTCTAGGGAAAAGTCTGGAGTATGCTTTCATGTTCAGAGATTCCTTAGATGGGAAAGCCAGTAAGAGTCAATAAGGAAGTTGAGGGAAGGTGTGCAGAGATCACTCAGTTGCTGATTAGGTTTCTTGTGTGTAACAGGTCTGCCAAAAGCCTGATTATTGTTTAAATTGAAGTTAGGATTAATATTTAAACTTCGTTGAAATACAGTCCTGCTAGTTTGAAGGTCGTTGGGGCCTTGTCTTGCCCCTGACATTGCAACAGAAACTGCATGGTGAGAAATATATGATTGGCCCTTGAATGTCATTTTAAGTGTCATATTCCTGAGTCCTTCCAATTAGTAAAATCCATATCCTTGCTGGCATTAAAACTGTAAAGCTTCCTAGTTGAAGTTAATGCTTAACAAAGGTTTTAAATTAGATGGAGTTCCATCTGAACTGACCCAGCCTGAAATGGGTGTAAATACAAGTCTATTCATCTGCCTGAGTGAAACTAGACAATCTAAATTCTATAAAACCGAAGCTTAAGGTAGGAAAGAGCCTTGCCTGCAAGTTAAAACTTGCTACAGAAAATGTATTCCTACCTCATAGTCCTTTCATGAAGCCAGGTTTCATGTTTATAGTGGAGGTTTTCCAAATACTCAAGCTCAATTCCTTGCTCCTCTTCTCTTCCCCTCATCTGTAGTCTTTCCATGCATTTCTAGGGAGAAAAAAAAAAAAAGTATAAACTTGGTCATTAGTCATGTGTTGTAGGTTAAATCAGCTAAACGGATCAAGTGGCCCTTAACTTGGAAGGACTAATGCTAGACATTAGTGAGCATTAATTTAAATGCTTGGCTGAACATAAATGAATTAAATCTAGAAAATTTTTCTTTTACCCTCTTAAGCCTCTGGAAAATGAAATTTGAACTGAAAAACCTGTATTTTTAGTGAGCATACCTGAGGTGTGGTTCTGAGATAGATCATGCCATCCAGTTCTATATCTGATTGAAACTGATTCAAAAGCCATGTGTGCCAGTCCTGATAAATAGACCACTCTGTTTCATTAATGTTTCCAGACTCGAACAGGTTAGAAGCAAATACGTATCTGCAATGCAAGACATCAGTCTCATGCCAGGAATAACAAAAGTGAACTACCAAAACATTGGTCATTAGAACAGAATGATGGTATGGAAAAAAAAAATGCCTTAAGCCTGCTCCCTTGCAGATTTTAAGTATCATGTGTTTTCTCGGCTTCATATCTTTAAAGCTCTGGAAACTGTTCATGTGAGTTCTTGCTGTGCTGTGGGAGTAATTACCTGTCACTGTACACAGATCTCTCGAAAAATTGCACTGGATGTTCTGCTTCAAGTAGCTTGGCTGAGACAGGTTTTAATTGTGCTTTTACTCGGCTCAAGCAGGCGTAAGTCTGAAATGTGTAAGCCCATCTTGTGGGTTTGTCATACAGCATTTGAAGTAAGTTTCCTCCACTCTTTTGAGATGTTGAAAGTTCCTAGAAGGCAAGAGAAAAAAGTTAATGTGAATGTACTGCTTTTCTTAATCCAGAATTCTGATTTAAGTAAGAATTGATGGCTTTCTTTTTATTACTAAGAAAATGCTTAGGCATAGAACCTAAGAGACTCTTTTTCCTCAGGTAATGGTGGTTTTCATTATAGCTTCTTTGAGTAACAGATTTTAGTGTGATTCCCATGGAGTAGGGGATGTGATTTGGAATATACATTCAGCAGTATCTTGCCTTTAGAATTTGAGTGCCTGACCAACTGTGGTATGATAGTGGGGATGACTGGCCGATGCAGACTAAGTATAGCTGGATTTTGGCATAGCTCCCTGGTTGTGGAACTCCCTGCAGTTTCTTCTGGCCCAAACTCTGCGTACCCACCTCATACTCATCCTCGGCTGTCTGGATGTTGCACCACTTAGCGATGGGCTCGGGGATGATCTCCCACTCATCGTTGTTTTTCTCCAGCAGCTTAACAAACGTTGACTTCCCGGCAGCTGCGGAAGATTAGAGCAGTTCACAAAGGGGTGGGGGTTGATTGCTCTGGTGCTATTGATGGACAGGGTTTGAGGCTGTTGAGGTGCGGGGCCGGCCGGGTGCGCCGAGAAAGCAAACAGCGCTAATCTGCCACGCCAGAGGGGCCGCGCCCGGCCGGGCGGGCAGCGAGGGCTTGCCGAAGAGCAGCCGACATTTTAGGAGCGGCGGTGGCGGGCGGAGCTTGGGGAGAGAGCGAGGGAGCGACCGCGCAGGCGCTGGGACTTGGCGCGGGCGGGAGGGAGCGAGCGAGAGCTGGAGCACCGAACGGGCCAGGAGGCACCGGGGGTTTGTGCTCCCGAGCCTGCCTGCGCCTTGGTGTGACTGACGGGCACCCTGCCCAGGGGGCTTCCCGTCCGCCCCAGCCTTGTTCCGGGCTCTCGGGTCCCGGTGCGGCTCTCCCTGAAGAACCCCCCGCTGCCCGCAGAGCCGCGGGGACAAGCGCCGCAGCCGCGCCTCTGTCTCTTCCAGTCTCCCCTGGCCCCTTGGGCTGCTCGCAGCCTGAAACCCACCCCCGACCCCCCCGGGACTCCCCTGCCACCCTGAGCCGCCTCCCGCACCGCCGAGCTCACCGATGTTCCCCTCGATGGAAATCTTCCTGAGGCGTTTTTGGAAGCTGGATTCGAGGGAGCCGGCGGGGCTCTTGCAGTGCCGCTTGGCGGGGGTAGACATGGCGGTGCCGAGCGGGAACTCAAGGGGTTCCCAGCTGCTCCGGCGCACTTTAAGCGTCCCGCCAGGTGGGCGGGATGGCCGCTTCCCGCCAATCCTCCCAAAGAAAAGGCGGAGGCGCTGCCCCCTCCCCCGCTCCTGCCCAGCTCCTGCCGCCGCGGTGTTACAAAATGGGCGTTCGGCAAGTGAAATGGAGAAGAGGGCTTTGTGCAGGAAGTGACTGTAGCACGGTTCCACTTAATGATCTAATTTGCATTTCTGTAAGCGGGTTCGCCATGTTTGATTTACTTATGTAAACTTGAGCATGCACCGGGGGAAAAAAAAAGTCAAAAAGCCTCCAGCTGTGTGGGAGGGGTAGTTATTTGTAATCCGGAACACGTCAAACAAAAAGTTACATGAGAGATGTAGGCTCAGTTTGTTTTGGTTCTGATTGGAGAAGAAATACTCGTGAATGAATGGTGTTCAGCCAGAGACTAAGAGCAGCTTCTGGGCTCCAAATACTTGTGTCAGGATGGTTCTAGAAGGGGTTCTAGAAGCTTGCTGAACTGTAGGCATGGATCCTGTATCACCTGCATAGACAAGTTGAAACATGAGCTGGTTATCCAAGGGGAAAGGGGATGGAGGATTCTTAGATGATGAGTTATTCCAGTTTCCTCTTTCCTCCTCGGTAATACTGAGATTCAAGGTGATATCTAGCTAGGTCTGGTGTGTTTGGAGGAAATGGGAGGGAATTAACTTTTCCGTACTTTTATGATAATTGTGACCCATTGTCTCTTCTTTCCCCATCTCCTCCAAACACACCAGGCTTCAGTGACCGAAGCGAGCAGATTGTTTCACGTGGGGTAGCGTCAGCCTTTGAAGCTGGTAAGTGCTAGTTCCCACACGCGGTGTGTGCAGCCAGAGCGCTCCGGTGTCCGCGCCACGCGGGAGCCGCGACGGGCCGGGGCGGGGGCGCGCGGGGCAGGCGCAGTGCAGCGAGCGGCGCCCAGGGCGCGCGGGGCCGGGGCTTTGTTCGGCGGGCGGCGCGTGCGCACAGGCGGCGCGCGGGGTCTTGGGGGCGGGGCCGGGCTGCACCGGGGCACATGCGCGCCCCGCACCCGCCCGGGCCACGCCGCTGCCGGTACCGTGCTCGGCGCAGGGCTCGCGGTGCTCAGTACCCGCTCGCCACACGCTGCTTTCTGCGAACCGGCCGCGGGCGCTGCGCCATCGCCGGGGGCCGCGGGCCCGCCAGGGCGGTGTCTGGGACCGCGCTCTTTGTGCGGAGGAAAGCCCGGCCCAGCGGAAGCGGGAGCATCCACCGCCATTTCCTAGCGCGCTCTCGCTACAGGCTCGCCTGCTCGCTGCCGCCTGACCGGGACTAGGCGCTCTCCGGACAGCGGATCAGGCTCGGAGCCCTAGAACCAGCGCGGAGCCCCACCATGTGTGCGTGCGGGGAAGGGGCAGGGCGCGGGCCGGGGGCGGGAGCGGCAGCGGCGCCGTGTGTGTGAGGCGGCAGCGCCTAAGGCAGCGGAGGATCAGGGAGGGCCGGCCGGGGCACAGGCCAGGGGGGCCGCCGGGCGCTCTGAGGGGGTGCGGGTGGCGGCCGTGCTGAGCAGTATCTCAAAGGAGCCGTTCTGGTCTTTCCAGCAACCACAGAAGCAGAGACAGAGCAGAGCCTCACCCCCAATGTGATGCTTAACACAGAGAGCAGCGAGGGATATGTGGTGAAAGTCCGGGGGCTGCCTTGGTCCTGCTCCACTGAGGAGGTGCAGAGGTTCTTTTCTGGTAAGTGGGGCTGTGGGGGGAGTAAGAGGTGTGGGAGAGGGGCTGGGCGCTGCTACCTGTTCTGGGTCCCTCCCAGGGACGCTTGGCAGTGGAAATGTTGTAGTGAGCAGGAGGCATTTAGTAGCCAGTGCGGTTTGTAGTGCAGCAAGTGCTTCAGCCAGAACCTGGCATGCAAAGCCATGTTCACGCAGCACAGAGGAGCTTAGTGTCTGAATTGCTGGGATAGCCGCAACTGCCTTTGGTGCTTGAGTAACTAGGAGAGAGAGGGTTCTATTTTAAAAAAAGTTCAGCCTGAAGCAAGAATTCTGAAGCTAAAACCTGAAGCAAGAATTTTGAAGCTAAATCAGTTTACGTCTTGTGTTGTCCCAATAGACTCTTGTTAAGTGTGTATCCTTCCCCAAATTCTCAGCATTCTGCAGTAATAAATATTGGTGGTAAATATAAGCTTTCTGCAGTGACTAGAGCTTTTAAAACTGCTTCAGGAATTTGCTGTATTGGACTCTGTTCTGATTTACTTTATTGCACTTATGCTGATTGTTATTATTATTTATTTCACACTAATAAGAAAGTTAAGATCAAAAGCAGATAGTATGTTCAACTTGAGGCAGAAAAGCTTTGGAAATGGGTAATTTGTATTTGCTTAATATTGATCTGTAGGCCAACTGCAGTTATCATCTTGGTTAATTAGTCATTTTTAAGTTATAACAAGAATGCTGCTGATTTTGTTGTTGTGGTGTAATTGGTACTCAGTACATATTTCTGTTTTAGCTCTCTGAAACTTCCAAAGTAACACTGTTCCTGTAATAATTGATGTAATTCTGCCTTCCTGTTTAATTTTCAGATTGCAAAATTCTGAACGGGGCTTTGGGTATCCGTTTCATCTATACCAGGGAGGGCAGACCAAGTGGAGAAGCATTTGCTGAACTTGAATCGGAGGAAGATGTGAAATTGGCCCTGAAAAAAGACAGAGAAACAATGGGACACAGATATGTTGAAGGTTTGACTTAGTTGGTCTAGTAACTGACTACATTGTGTTTGTGCTTGATGGGTTTTTGGTAAATTGCTTTTCTTGTCTCTTTAAAATGCATGTGAAAGGACAGATGGACTTGCATATCATAAGTTGACTAATTTCAAGGCAAATGACTTTAAAAACTTCACTACTCCAGAATGCATTAATTCTAAGTGCCTTTTACAGTTTTCAAGTCAAACAACGTTGAAATGGATTGGGTTCTGAAGCATACTGGTCCCAACAGCCCTGATACAGCTAATGATGGTTTTGTACGTCTTAGAGGACTCCCATTTGGCTGTAGTAAAGAAGAAATTGTACAGTTTTTTTCAGGTATGTGGGATAAAAGTAGTAGCTGTAGCACTATTGGTTTATGCTAAAAAACCCCAACAAACCAAAAAGCATGGATTGCCCAGTAGTACTGCCCAACAGTATTATCATGGGTATTAAAAGTAAATAAACCAATTCTTCACTAGTTTTCTGGGCATGACAAATCCTTTGGATTACTTCCTAAAGTACTTGATAACTAAATAATTTAGGGAAAGCCAAAAAGGTGCTCGAATTTATACTTGGTGGGACCTGCTGTTTCAATTAAGGATTATAGAAAAGTGTCTTGCTTTCCAAATAAAGCTGAATATTTCATGTGGGAGGATGTTTCTACCCCTAGCCTTGGCTGATTTGCCCTGGTTAGTGAAGGGTGTAGAACACCCTCAACACTGGGCTCTGTGTGAGGAGCAGGTTCTCAGCAAGGGCCCATGACCTCTTCCCTACATAGAGCTAGTATTGAAAAAAATTCAGAGAAAACCTGCTGAACTCTACCCAAATACAGATTAGCCCCTTTCTCTTCCTATGGGGAAAAAAACCCCCACCAGACCCCTGAAATTGCCTAGCTCAAAGTTTTTATGGATGAGGAGATAATGTCTTGTTTTGACTAATTTTTACTTTTTTGCAGCTGTTTTATGTTTTACAAACTGGAATTAGACTATTAAAATGTCTAAGAATGGAATCTGTTGATTGTTTAGGATTTCATTTGTTATTTTCAAAATACTAGATTTCTAAATGTTTTGCTGTAACAAGATATGATAGAGCTTACTGTTTTGCTTTAAAATACAGTAGAAACATTTCCAGTTTTACAGTCTCAGAAGTTGTTTTTTTGTTTTCTGAATTGGTGATATGAACAAGAGCAATTTCTAAGTATGTGCATTTTAAACTGTTTTTTTCTTACATGGTGAAGTAATTCAAGCTTTATAAGTTGTTTATGTGCTTATTATACAAAATGTGTCTCTTCTGTTCAGGAACTAATATTTAAAAATGGCTTCATGATTTTTTTCTTAATTAAGCACTCCTAAAGATTAAAAAAACCCAACAAAACAATGCTGAAACTTAATGTTTGCATAGGACTAATTATTTTATCTAAGTGACCTCTAGTAAAATTACTTGTTCTATATAAAACTGTTTAACTTGCTGTGTTTGAATTTTAAGTTCTCTTAAAAAGTTCATCTTAAATACTTTCACAGAATTGATGAGGTTTGTAATAATGTGTGAAGTTCTTAACGCACCCTGCATTAGATGCCTTCTCTGAGGGGCTGTCCCTGACCCTCAGAACATTTCTGAGCTCTGCAGGGTGGGTTAAGAACCTGAACTGAATGGTATGTGATCATGGAGCTCTTTGTTGACGTGCCTTTTTTATTCTGGTGTTCTAGAATCAACATACCATTTGCTTAAAAGTGTTTAAATTCTGGTGTTTTTAAAGCTATAAGAAAAAACTCATGACTGGGCTTGTGATGTTAATATTGCCCCCCTACTGGGGTTATTTGTCCTTGGGTTGAAGGGTTGGAAATCGTGCCAAATGGGATAACATTGCCGGTGGACTTCCAGGGGAGGAGTACGGGGGAGGCCTTCGTGCAGTTTGCTTCACAGGAAATAGCTGAAAAGGCTCTAAAGAAACACAAGGAAAGAATAGGGCACAGGTGGGGATGGATGGTTGGTTGGCTCTGTCACTTTTCTTATGGTAAACAATTAAATCCATATTCTCTCTTCTGAAAATGTTAACACCCAAATCAAAACAGTGTTTTGGTCTCTAACTTGGTGATGAGTAAAGATACTGATTGCTATAGTGTGTGTGGCACAGACTATTAAATCTACTCAAAAATACAGGACAAAATTGAGATAAACTAAAATGTGCTTTGGAAAATGAGTAATAACAGGCATTCAAAACTACAGTTTGGAAATGACAAAGTTGAGAGACTATGGCTTTAACTTCTCAAATAGCACCAATTCTGCCTTTAGCTCTAAAGACATGCACAGTATTCTTACTACCATAAGAAAATGTGATACTTTCTAAACTTG